TCCTATAGTTTGTTCCATAGTTGCGTTCTGTTCTGTTGTGTTGTGTTGTGTTGTGTTAGGTGAAATGGAAGGATCCATTCAACGATAAGAAAAAGTTTGATGGTATTTCGATGAAAGAAACGATTTAGCCGTAACAGTCGTCGTTGTTTCGATTATAAAAATATCGATGTTCCGGTACGTTAACGATCGTCTTCGGTTTTTCACAAAGAAATTGTCATTAAACTCTTTGAAGCTTAAAATTTTAGAAAATAAAATATAAACAGTGCCCTTCCCCCCACAAACACACGTTATACGTCGAAATGTTATTTTTAGAAAATGTTATTACATAAAATGAATACAAAAGTTATTTAAGTGTTACATTATAGGGTAAGATATAAAAATAGCCATGTTTTCCATGTGTGATGATAATTTTTCGAGACGAGATATAAAAATATCTTACTGTAAGCATATTTAGGTATTAAAAAAAGGGTGGAATATGGAGTATTGAATTTTATCGTGTTTCGATTAGAACGCTCCATTTATTTTCGTATTTATTTGGAATGAAATAGTGAATTGATAGAAAATGTTTATGTAATTTTTACGGGAAGATTTTGAGATCAAAGACATTTAAACGAATAGGAGACTCGAATATATAATATCAAGCTCGCATAGTACTTAAAATGCGCGCATAGCTACGCTATATGATCGCATTGAGTGAGACTAGACTTGTTCGTTGTAATAAAGAGACAGTAATGAGACCACCGCGACGATGACTTCCACCGGTTTTTCTACTCTTTTTCAACGGTTGTTCTACCATGCCGGAGATACAGCTTCGCTTCTTGGATAAAGAGTATAGAAAGATGATGGGGCTAGGTGAGGAAGAAGAAGAAAAAGAAGAAGGGTTCTAGTAAAGGGAGAAGGGTAAGGAGCAAGTATAACACGAGGGAATGTCCACGTGTTGGATGTAACGGGGTCGCTGAATTATTTAAAACCGAGCCGTCATTTATCGCGAAACACAAAAGGACACTTTATCTCTGTTGCACCGATTAGAAAGAATTTCCTTCTCTATGAAGGAAGAATCGTTTCTTTTAACGTTTGATATTTAAAAGAGATTTATCTTGTGTGTGTGTGTGTGAGAGAGAGACGTTTTTATCATATATATTATATTTACCATAGATCTCTTCTTTTTTTTCGATTCTCAATCTTTTTTAAAGTAATCTTTTAATTTGTTTAAGGGAAATAAATATAAATCGTCTCGTAATTCAAATAATTGATTTGTTTATTCTTTAACGTTAAATATTTTTCCATGAAACAAATGAATGCATGTATTAAATGTGTAAATCAATTCGAATGCAATTTTATATTGTTTAAATTGAAATTATCAATAACATAATTTGTGAAATTAATCGAATCTAATCTACACTGTTATTTTTTTTGATAATTTACGTATATTATTTTTAACAACCCACACTATTCTCGATATTTCTTGCCTTTGTCAATAACCCCTCCTTCCCCATAGATTATTCTTTCGAAAAAATAAATAGTCTTGATTTTAGTTCGATTATCGTCACGTACCTTAAAACCTAATAACAAAGAATTGATAGTTTTAAAAGAATATATTCTTATTTATTTATTCGAGTTTATCGTCCTACGAGGTCAGCTCGTGTTTAAGTAATCGGATCTGTCGTACAGTTTCGTGGCCCTACATATACCATAAGTATAATACATACTTACAAACGTAAACGTGTATAATATCCCTTTCTAAGTAGCAGTCTCACGTATTTATTTTAGTTCATTTACTTCTTATACCGCAAAAGTTAGTAATCTTTTTTTAGACATATATAGAATGTATGTTACAATATACGTGGCGTGGTTTCGCCATTGATGAAAAAAAAATGTGTCGCCGTTATCGACACCATACACAATCCTTTCGTCTATACCTGGTATATCATAACTCGACTTTCATTCTTGTGATTTCGCGATGCTTGTACTTCGAATATGAAAAAATAATGTTTCGTCATTAACATAAATACGATTGTACGATCGTGACATTCGTTATTTCTAATTTATGTTATTTTAATTTAATCTCAATCAATTAATCAGTTAATACAAATAAAAAAATTCTTTTTTACTATGTCATATAAATTCTATTTCAGTTCGTTACATTTTCTATTAACACCTACATTTGCGGACTTATTTTATGGTATTATCATGCGTATGTGTCTTAAGAAGATAATATTACTAACCGGAGATTCCTTCCTTTTCAGATTAAATTAGCATTGACGTTATATGGTGCTACTACCACTTATGAGAGAGAACAAAAAAACAAAAAAGGAAGATCTTGATTGAAACCACCACCCACTTCGAATGCTATTTTCTTTTTTTCTCTACGAAATTAATAGACTGTAAATCCTAGTTGGTTTATTTTGTTAGCGTTGGCAATCACTTTATGAGGGAAGCTTATCCTTTTTTCGTAGCATGAAGCTATGAATAGGATCGATTTAAAAAAAAAAATAAAAAAAAATAAAAGTGCTGTTGATAGGAAGATAAAGCCCATCGTGAAAGCTTATAGAAAGAAAATTAGAAAAAACAGTAGGTAGATAAAGCAGAAAGAAAGAAATAAAGAAAGAAATTAAACTAATCGTTAATGGAAACAGTATACCTTTTGTATTGAAGTATTTTTTATTTACATTAGAAAATAAATGCGATTCCAATTGTACTCCCTAAGAAAAAGAAGAAAAAACATTATCAAATAAACTTTATATATACATAATGATATCCTTATTTACCTTATTTTTTTTTAAATTTATTTTTTTGTAATTACCATAAAAAGAAATCTCTCTTGAACAAATAACTGCGTGTTTAAGGAAGTAAATAAGTAAAACTATTATTTACGATACATATTCCGTATGTTAATTACCGTGACAGCAACGGAGGAGGGTTATTTGCCCTGAAAAAAAAAAACTCGTCCAACGTACTCTGTTATCGATTTATTGTTCGACAGCGTTTATGCATGCAACGCATGAACGATAATACGATGTGTTCCAGTAATACGACAGGGTATTCGTCGTTGGGTGACGCCGAAGCGTCTCGTCTCTCCCTGTAACTCCTTTTTACTTACCTTTACTATCCAGGTGTAGTTCGGTTAGTTTATTCTCGTACACTTACCGTCCACATAAAGCTTATAACGTAGCTTATAAACCAGTTGCCGCTGACTAACACGCGACTTTCTCGCTTCCAGACATGTACGTTGTCTTCTTCCCCGTAAAAAAAAAAGAAAAAAAAATGGGAACTTTATTCTTATAAATATAAAACACACATAGGATTATATAATACATCTAACGCATTACACAATCAATGAAATTCTTGTAAAGATTTTGTATTGCTATCAATACATTTTTAGTGACCTTCAAAATCTTTTTATTGAATTGAAAATATTATAAATTTATTTTTAAAATAACTGAATCATAGGTTCATATTTTTTTTCTTGTAATAAAACTCTAATTGATAATTTGTAATTTTTGTCACGAAAGTATAATAAGTATTGTTAAATTAAACGTATATGTATATTATTTTAATTTAATCGTTAATATTTATTTTGTTCTCTTTTTCAATGTAAATTTCCTTTAGACGCAATACGTTTGTGCTATTGAATTTTCTACTCCTAGAAAATTTACCATGAATGCACTTTTTGGTACAGCTTTGAGAGAGATTACTGCAAATTTCTTGTAGTGTATTCGTCCGACTGAAAATGATGTTTTCGGAGTGGTAATTTGAGTTTTGGGAATAAGAAAAAATTACACAAAGTCAAGCGAATTTGATATTTGCGGTTTAATATTGATGCTCGTTTCTGAAGTTTGTGCCTAAAATTGAAACAATTTTTGTTTTCGATCAAATTCACTTTTATTTTTTGACATGGTCTTTAAACTTTTAAAAAAGGATAGTCTTCAGAATATTCTACCCATCTTCGTATCAAATATTTCCATTCCATTACGGTAAAGCAATTTTTGAGAAAGCTTATGTATTCATGCATTATTGTTATTTTATTATAAATAAGAGAAAAAGCTAGTCTTTATCGATCAAATGGATAGTAGTAAAATAACGAGATCAGCATCAATCGTTCGTGTAGACCGAAAGGCGCCGTATGTTCCAGTAAACTACATACACATTGGCTAACAACCTGCATTGTAATCGTGAAATAATGGCGGAGCATGTCGTGCGTGATTATTTTTCTTTTTCTTCATATTTTGCGCTAGAAAAATTAATAGATATGTATAAGTAGTAGAATCATCATACATGTATATACTATATACATGTGTGGATTTCTTTTTTTATACTAGTTGTAATTTCAAAGATCGATAAATTTATCTTTCATACATTGTCTGCTGAATAAGCTTTGTTATTTATTGTTTAGGATTTACAAAGAATATATAACATTGAGACGTGCTTTTGATAACTTTTATCGAGAAACGAAAAATACAATTCGATAAAATAGAAACGTAAAAAGCACGGTTAAAATGAATGTATGTGCAAGTTTTTATGTTCTAAGATCGAACATTTACAATTCATAGATAACATTGACAAACTTTCGTATGCACCGATATTAAATATACATGTGCATATCGTAATGCACAATAGAAAACAATAATGAGGACATTGCAAACATGCCGAAAATTATAATGAAATCATATTAGAGTATATTTTCTTTTTATTACGTTGACAATGGAAAGAATACAAAGAAGGAAAAGCACATTGGAATTAAAGGCACGTGAATACATACATATGTACGAGACGTGATTTGGAGAAGATATACGGATTAAAACGTTACGTAAGGTCCCTTGATAATTTCTATTACGAATGTTCACACGAGTACATTAGCCTAGTTAGCATGAAATTAATGAGAATTATGCAATGTCCGACTTATCATATAACTCGAGTAAACCGTTCATTCAATAATTACAACGTAAGAGAAAATAAATATAATCGATTCAATTTGTCAAATTTTATTTGATTATTTTCAGAGTGATCCAAGTACGTCATTTTTGAGAGCAGCTCGTGCGGGCCAACTCGAAAAGGTTTTGGAATATCTTGAATCGGGAGTGGATATTAATGCATCGAATGCTGTAAGTTTATTATTGCTGTATCGCATGAATTTAACATAGTCGCAATTGATCAAGATACTTAAGTGACTATCTTAGGAACTATGCGTGTATACGTATAACGAATATTTTACTTACACAGAATCTAAATAAAAAAGGAAATGAATTTATTTTTTTTTTTATACTTAGAACGGACTGAATGCTTTGCACCTGGCAGCTAAGGATGGCCACTTGGAAATCGTACGAGAACTTCTTAATCGTGGCGCAGTAGTCGATGCGGCTACTAAAAAGGGAAACACTGCATTGCACATTGCTTCTCTTGGTAAGTAAGCGTAATTCCATTTGTGTGTGTGTTTCTGTCTATACGTATATACAAACGTATTACAAATACACGTAAAATACACGTACTCTCAGATTATATCGATTAACCCATATCTTTCCATACCTTGATACCGATATGGTGCATTGCCTCTAGGCAATAATAATTTTTAAAAAATTCATTGTTATGTCCAACGACTCGATGACACGTTTAATCGAAAAAGAATGTAACTTTTGATGGATTTATTTATACTGAAAAATATATAATATTTCATATTTTTGTTTGTATTTTTTTTTCTTTTTTTAAAGAGTTTCATCATATACGCGTTAACTTTTTGTTTACCCTATACTTATTCTTCCTGGGTCATAATGGGAAATGTATATGATATCTGACCACTTTTCTTTCACTGTGAAACTAATATCTTGTTTCAGCTGGACAAGAGGAGGTTGTACAATTGCTAGTTCAACAAGGTGCTTCTGTCAACGCACAGTCACAAAATGGGTTCACACCACTATATATGGCTGCTCAGGAAAATCATGACTCTGTGGTCAAGTACCTCCTCAGTAAGGGTGCAAATCAAACCCTCACTACAGAGGTACGTGTTATATATATAATTTATTTTAATAATAAATACGTGTTATTCGAAAAAAGATACTTTATCTAATAATTAGAAGAAGAAAAACGTGCTCGAAATGTTTCAAAGATTTAATTTCGATTTTAGTCGTAAACACGAATCGAAATCGCATTGATTATATGTGATTTATGATTATTCTTGTTTACGAGCGACATATATCTTCAGTGTTAAAGTTTTTTTATAATAATAAATTATATTATAACTACTTTGAAATAATCACTATTATTGCTATTAGCATTACACGTTTGTCCTATCGATAACGATTCAATTTACGATGACTCATTTACATTATTATCTTACTCCCCGATAATACGAAAAATCGTATTAGGAATGTCTGCCAACAAATTAGTTCTACCACTATTACTAAAAGGGTGGAGCTGCTATCATTTAGGGTTAGGGTAAATCACTTTAATGATGCCCAAGGTCCTTTTTCTAATATAGGAGATAAGGAATAATTTTTGGTTATTCGATTAAAATAAATGATAAATGATTTGAAATTGATTTAAAGGATCAATATTCTATTTATAGGTCGATTAATTCATTACGAAACGAGTAATGTAAACATGTAAAAGAAAAAACAAGGATTACCTTGAAATCTCAAAAACGTGTCCTTCATATAGACAAGTTCTGCCAGAAGGCAAATTCTCGAAATAAAATTAATTCCGTTAATTTTTGAATAACAAATAGTTCCCGAAAATAATTTTGTGCAAAAACTTATACGAGATACAATGTACTTTATTTATTATTCAATTTTTATTTATGTTTTATTTTCTATCGTAGGATGGGTTTACTCCATTGGCGGTGGCCATGCAACAGGGTCATGATAAAGTAGTTGCCGTTCTATTGGAAAATGATACTCGCGGTAAAGTTCGATTACCTGCTCTCCACATTGCAGCTAAGAAGGATGATTGTAATGCTGCTGCCCTACTTTTGCAAGTACGACGCCATATTTCTTTTTTTTTCTAGCAAAAGAGCCCTTCGTAGCAATCCTCTTATTCTTGTTAATAGGGTTCACCACTTAATACATTTCTATTAGTTTATACCATACATTCTTTTGATCCAAATAGTTGACCGATTTTTATATGAACGAGAATAATAAAAAATATAACTATAAAATTGTGAAAATTGTTATGTTCTAAACAAAAATTCGTCTCTTAAATTTTCAAATATTTAAAATCGATGTAAATGTATTATAACAAAAAATTCTCGGAAAATATAATCTCATATCGGAAAACTTTGTCTTTAAAATATTCTATCGTTCGAATAAAAAGTAGAGGATAATTTTAACTTTTTTTATAAACTTCTGCAAATAATGTAAAACAGTTTTGTATAGATGTTTCGCATATATTTAAGTGAAAGAAAGTTAGGACGTTAATTACATGAAAAGAATTTTAAATTACATACGAACGTGTATATAAATATGATTTTTATTAAATACGAAAAGAATAAAATCGTTTATGAGATCTCATATCGACTTATGTATTTTTACGCGTTATTAAAAAAGTACTGTAGCTTTTTTTAGTTATATAAGAATATGTACTTGACCTATTTATGAATTATATCATCGTTATGAAATACGTCAGACTGACAAATAGGTAGCTGATGAACGTTCATGAATTATCATTCATTTTGAATTCGTAATAAATCGATCAAAGGGTCAATATAATACGCTTTTATTTTATATTTTAAGTAAATGGAAAATTATAAAAGTAAATAGTGCGTTTATTGAATCTTTATCGTATTTTATTTTTTAACAGAACGACCATAATCCCGATGTAACTTCGAAAAGCGGTTTTACGCCACTTCACATAGCCGCACATTATGGCAACGATCGAATTGCTTCTTTACTTTATGACAGAGGTGCGGATGTTAATTTTGTTGCTAAAGTAAGTATTCAATCATATTTATATGTGCACCTATAATTATTAAAAAATATTTGAACAAATATGATATTTACGTTTTATTTTTTCGTTTGTTCGTTCATATAGCACAATATTACACCAATTCATGTAGCTGCAAAATGGGGTAAACTAAAAATGGTAAGTCATCTGATGAATAAAGGAGCAAATATCGAAGCTAAAACGAGAGATGGCCTTACACCTCTTCATTGTGCAGCAAGATCAGGTCATCATGAAGTTGTTGATATTCTTATTGAAAAAGGAGCGCCTATTGGCTCTAAGACAAAGGTAATAAATTATATATTCATAAACCTCATCGTTGTCGAATAATATTTGATTATCATTTGAGTAATGCATTTTTTCTTGATTATCGTGCAGAATGGTCTCGCACCATTACACATGGCTGCTCAAGGAGATCACGTAGACGCAGCAAGGGTTTTACTTTATCATCGTGCACCTGTGGATGAAGTAACAGTAGACTATTTAACAGCATTGCATGTGGCAGCTCATTGTGGTCACGTAAGAGTGGCCAAACTTTTACTCGATAGAAATGCGGATCCTAATGCACGTGCACTCAATGGTTTCACACCTCTTCATATTGCGTGTAAGAAGAACAGAATCAAAGTGGTTGAACTTCTATTAAAACACAAAGCTAGTATCGAAGCCACTACGGAGGTAAACAATATTATTATTGAATATTAAAAATATATTTTTTGTAATAATTTAAAATTTTAAAAAATTTCTTGTTATTTATTTTTGTTTTAGTCCGGATTAACTCCGCTGCATGTAGCAAGTTTTATGGGATGTATGAACATCGTCATTTACTTGCTGCAACACGAAGCTAGTCCAGACATACCGACAGTAAGAGGCGAGACGCCGTTACATTTAGCTGCTAGAGCAAACCAGACTGATATTATCAGGATACTTCTTAGGAATGGTGCTCAAGTTGACGCTAGAGCAAGGGTACGGATATCATGTAATTTTATTTTTTTGTTTTGAATAATTTTGATGTCTGTCATATTATTTTTTTTTAGGAGGAACAAACACCACTCCACGTTGCTTCCCGCTTAGGTAACGTTGACATTGTAATGTTGCTATTACAACACGGTGCTGGAGTTGATGCAACAACAAAAGATTTGTACACTCCACTTCATATCGCGGCTAAGGAAGGTCAGGAAGAGGTAAACATTTTATAGTTACAAGTAATTTTTGGTCATACAATTTAATATTTGATTATACCTATTAAATATAACGTATTAACAATTATTTTTTATGTGTAGGTTGCTTCAGTTTTATTAGAAAATGGCGCATCACTTACTGCTACGACTAAAAAAGGTTTTACGCCATTGCATTTAGCAGCTAAATATGGCAATATGAACGTGGCAAGATTGTTACTACAAAAGAATGCACCTGTTGATGCTCAAGGAAAGGTAAGTAACGTCCTTATAATATTTAATTTTTATTAAAATTATATATAAGCGTAGACGCGACAAGTAAAAATATTTTGATCAATTTATTAAATACAGAATGGAGTAACTCCTCTTCACGTAGCATCGCATTACGACCATCAGAATGTAGCATTACTCCTATTAGATAAGGGTGCTTCGCCACATGCTATGGCTAAAAATGGTCATACACCTTTACATATTGCAGCACGAAAAAATCAGGCAAGTAAATAGAGTAAAATGATATTAAAATTGACAGAATTGACAGAATTAACAGAAAAATTTGAATGATTGTATACAGATGGACATTGCAACAACATTACTGGAATATGGTGCAAAAGCTAATGCAGAATCAAAAGCTGGATTTACGCCGCTACATTTAAGTGCACAAGAAGGACACACTGATATGTCAACTTTACTTATCGAACACAAGGCAGACACAAATCATAAGGCGAAGGTACATTCGCATAATTAGAATATTCCTTATATTATTATTTATTAACCTGTTTTTTCAGAATGGTCTTACGCCGTTACATTTATGCGCACAAGAGGATAAAGTCAACGTTGCTTCTATCCTCGTAAAAAATGGTGCTCAGATCGATGTTAAAACAAAGGTAATGTAATTATTTTTATCTACATTTATGCTTATGAAAAGAACAATATAATTAGCGAAAGATCAATGGCACGATAGACGATGAATATTATAACTGAGCGTAGAAAAAAATTATCATATTCACGATTACATTGTTAACATCATGAATATAATTCAATTATCATTGGAAACACAATAAGTACTTTAAGTAGCTCTAGGTTGCATTTTTTGCATTGTTATCTTTAAGTGTCCGACTTGTTCACTTGACTCTATTGTCTTTATAGTGATAGTAATTATTGGTATTGTTTATACTATCTTATAAAAAAAATGTTATACAATTATCATTTTTATTTTTATGTCAAATTGTTATTAAATATATGCGTTTATTTTAGGCTGGTTACACGCCATTGCACGTTGCAGCTCATTTTGGACAATCAGCAATGGTGCGATTCCTTTTACGCTCGGGTGCAACTGTTGATAACAGCACCAATGCTGGTTACACGCCGTTACATCAAGCTGCTCAGCAGGGTCACACGCTGGTTATTAATTTACTATTAGAAAGTAAAGCTAAGCCAAATGCTGTAACTAATGTAAGTAGAGCTAAAAATCCAATTTTTTATATACAAGACAACGTTTTTTTTTACAAATAGTTAAAATAACAAATTGCATTACGTTTTATAGAATGGGCAAACTGCTTTGGATATTGCACAAAAACTTGGCTATATCAGCGTCATTGAGACATTAAAGGTTGTAACTGAAACTATTATTACCACAACACATACTATCACTATTGAAGAAAAATATAGAGTACAAGCACCCGAATCTATGCAAGAAACATTCATGAGTGACAGTGAAGATGAAGGCGGTGAGTACATGGTTTATTATTATAATCATTTGTTTTTGCTTAATAGATACTTATTGCAGTCTATGCATATTCAAATGTATAATCTTATATAAGAGTTGAATTAAGAAGAAATAACATTTTTTCTCAATTTAATAGTGGAGGCGTTTGAAAATGAAACCTCATGCGATTTTTAAATATACATGTTGAATATAGTTTGCAATATATTGAGAATTTTTATCTAATAAAATATATATTCGATAATTAAAAAAATAGGAATATTAAAAAAAGAAAATAAAGAAAAGAATTTCTTGTAAAAATACAAGTATAAATCTTATTGGAATTAAATTTCGATACATAATTCGATATAATGCATGCTGTAAAATAATTCTTATAGAAAAAATCCTACGTTAATGATGATATATTATTAATTTATATTCATTTCTATTTAATTTAATAAATGTTTTTATTAAGCGTTATCCGTGAAATTGTCCGTATTAAATTAATGAATATTTTTGATTTGTTAAATATGTATATGTATTACATCATTGGAATTAACACAAGTTTCTTCCAAAACAATTGCATGAAAAAATACTAAATGAATTATCAAGTAAGCTTCCTAAAATTATGTACACACTCTTGCATGAGGCATGAGGAGAATATATAGTGTAGTTTAAATAATGAAGCATGGATGATACATGTCTTCTTAGCTTATAAAAATATTTTCCTTATATGAATATCCTCATAGATTCTCATATCCTTTTCCCAACCCGATTAGTTACGATGGAACAGGCAACATGAGGTAGCAGGGATAGGTTCAAATTACTCAACTTGACACAATAGAATATATGTATATGTATCTACATATTCTATTTACTTAAATGAACAAACATACGCGTAACGAATACGTATATTACATTATTATTTAGTATAATCGGTTTTTTTGTCGAAATTCCAGAGTTATTATTAAAGAGCTAAATGGCATTTTTCTTTGCTTGTTTTTATTGCGTTTCTTTTGCATTCATTTCGCAAGAGCATGTATCTAGCATATACTCGCTGGGTTGTTAAATACGTCTTCCATCAAATGTTTATTCAAATTATATTTTTTCCGTCTATGTAAATATATCTATTTAGTATTGAATTTTGCAAAATAGCTAAGCTATCAATATTTCAAATAACGTATAGATATTATCTTTGCTTTATCAATATTATGTAAAACTTTGAAGCTTCGTAATAGCACCAGGAATAGTTGTAAATATGCGGTCTTGCCTTAAAGTAAAAAGTATTCTACAGGATATTCTGTAATTGGTAGTACAAACGAGCAAGGGGTTGGTTCTATATAAAAAAGTAAATAAAAAATATAGAATTACATTTGTTCGTTGCTTTGTTTTTGAGATAAATAAGTTTAAAAATCTGTCGAGTACTTGTGCACTTGACTGTGTCTGCATCCCTAGAAACTAAAAGCCTCGTTTGATAAACATAAGTGTAAAATCGATACAAGAGGTATTATCATACTGATAATGTTCGCAAATATGTTAGGAAGCACAAAAATGTTATCCGAAATATCCGAGAGTAAGATAGTGGAATCTGTCGAGCTGAATCAAGTGCACGCGTATTCGACAAATTTTCAAACTTTTTTTTTCTTAAAAACAAAGCAATGAAAAAATGTGATTATACATTTTCGATTTAGTTTTCCATGTAAATTCACCCCTTGCACATTTGTATTACCAGTTACAAAACATTCTGTATACATAGTATAGATAAGGTATAGGATTTGAAATAAAGTTAACATTTGAACATATTATAGAAACAGATTCTTGCAATTCATTATTTATTAGCGTTTTCTTGAGTATTCTAATTACTTATTTAATATAATTAATATTATATTTGTATAGATAAATATATATATATATATATTTATTATATTATAATATATTTAAAACGATATTAGTTGCTTGCTTATATATATTACAAATAAAGTTCTTCATAGCAGTTTCAGCGAAGGTATATATTTTGGTTTAACACTAACTATACGAAGACTAACAACCCAGTGATAACGAGATATAGAAACAATGTTTGATGGTGCAAAATTAGGGTTTTGATAAAAAAATGACCTTACTCGCCGGCGTATAATGTAGGTGGTGATGAAATCGGCATGGCAGCCATGAATGTGTACGGGCAGCCTCCACACGCGCAACACGTGTACCTTCCTTCTTACTACAAGGGCCAAATGACCTATACCCGTAAGTTCTCTGTTTTCTGTCACTCTGTCTCTACTCTCTACTCTCTCTCTCTCTCTCTCTCTCTCTCTCTCTCTCTCTCTCTTTCTTTCATTCACATGTCACACGTGCGTGAAGTACATACCGTACACACATACACTCTTCTGAGAGCCGTGTGATGTGGGTCATTTTGTAATATTTTCGTCGATCTCTGGAATTCTAAGCTCATAGATCGTCTGGTACATCGTTTAAACATTCCCTTCCCATCTATTCGATCCCATATAAATCGAAACGATCAATCCATCTTGTACATTATTTACCTATCTTCCCGCTAGCTTACATTTGGTATTGGATTTATACTTTTGGGTCCTTTTTTTTTTGTAAAAAAATAAACCCCCTTAAAAAAAAGATGAAATAAAAATAATTCTTATCGTTAGCATTTTGATTTTTAATAACGACGAGTAGACAAGATGAACTTATAGTTTATTTTCAATTGTTCTACCCTATGTCGAAAGTTGAATCTCTGATAGTTTGACCTTAATGCTCAGTAGTATGATTTAAATTTTTATTTTATGCACTCACTAACCATCACCTTAATCTTAATATTTCCCAATCGACATTATGCGAATGAATGCGAATAGTTTTTCAATAAGATGGTGCTCTTTCTCTCTCTCGTATTTAAATTCACTCACGTCTCACGTATTTATGTAAATATATACAATACGATGCGTGACAAGCTAGAAATCGTTTAATTATCCAACGAAGTTTTCAAGATATCGGAGAATGTGTTTGGTTGATGATGGTGATGAAGAAACAGAAGAAAAAAATACATGTTACTCATACATCAAGTGTTATGCATTTGAATTGAAATCAGCGAACAGATAGAGAAGAAATGTACATGTTAAAGTGCACACTTTGAAGCTATGAAACCGTACATCCTCTTGTTACAATTTTACATTCTGTACGATTAACGAAATGGGCCGTGCTCCCGGACCGGCGTTAATGCAATTAACATAATAACGAGTAGCATTATCATTCTAACACAAGTTGGTAGAAACGGACGTAGATTAGCTCGCTCGTTGCTCGGTTTTGACATATCATCCTTGGCGTCATCATAGTTGTCATTTTCAACATTGCACCCGTTGTACTCGTCTGTAGCCTATGACATGCATTCTACTTTGTCTGTTACCTGTTATGCAACGCGTACGACATACGTACAACAACGGCGCGCGACGTACGTTTCTCGTTGAGAGTTTTCTATTCATATTGGTGCAATAGAGAATAGTCAGTTTAACCCCCGTCGTCTTCTGGCCAACTGCCAAACGCAATCCAAGAACCGAAATATCACACGAATTTATATAACGTGCGGCGCTTACTTTTTTTTTTCTTATTTATCTTTTTTTTTCCTTATTTTTTCCTCCCCCGTCTTTCCCTTGATCTTTTTTTTTTGGTTTCAACTCACTACGCGATTACCTTTAGAGATTTATGTTTCTAGGAAGATTTTTTATATTTGTTGCTGACGAAGTCTCGTTCAAAGCAAAGCAAAGTAAAGTAAAAAGGCTCACGTTGGATAGATATTTTTTTCGGTTGTGAACATTTGCTAAGCGCCAGTAGTAGTAAATCACATAATAATTATACCCATATATTATCACACATTACGAATTTATTTCGAGAATCGATCTATATTTATTTATTTGATCAATGAACACGACACTAGTGAACGTTTCTTTTTTTTCAAAGTATCGTTTATATACGCGTATAACGTGCATGTGCACAAGTTTAACAAAATTCTCCCTACCTTATTACTATAGAGACACGCACCCATAGATCTTGAGAAAACGTGAGGTAAACAGTAGAAAATCATAGTTGTTGTTTCAACGATGAACGGTGAAGTCGCGGGCAACGGCTATATCTTGCGGCGTGTAAATAAATTGGCGGGAAAGCTCGAAGGCAATGACTATTATAAAATTGGTGATTCATAAAATGAGGTCACGTTTCTAGCGGTGGTCTTACGTCGAACTTGTATTAATCTCAAAACAGTCGCTGTTCCTGACCCCCGCGGATGCAAACGTTATAGCGGAACGTACGGTGCATCAAAAAAAAGAAGGCGTTGTTACAATTGTGTGATTTTTGTTTCTTCTACGGTGAAACAGAGATATTTCCTCAATATTACGATACAAACTTTTAATCGCAATTGAACGCGAGGCAACACGTTTGATTTGTCGTCACGAGGATAAAATAAATAAACTAACGTTTTACGCAACGGTGTCGATAGTACGGAAAGAGAACGAAAATTTCGATAAGAAGATCAAGAATTCGTTTTTGAATTCTAGAACGACAAAGGTGATCATAACGGATTTATTTGATTCGTTCGAACGAATATTAATTGTCTATATATTGTGAAAATTTTTGATTGAAAATATTCGACGATAAGAATATAAAAGAAAAGAAAAAAATAAAACTTATAGAAAGATCTACGGTGATATTATCCTATCAACGGATCAAAGGATTACGCACAGTTGCGAATAATCAGTGATGCAATAATTATGAGGCACACGTAACAACTCGTACCGCCACTAAATTGTCTTTATATCATTGTATATGGCGTTGACTGCATAGAGAGTATCCTACTGTACACCGTATGCAACCTCGTCACAGTGCACCAGTGCACTTATTACTGTTCAAAAGGCACAAGACGATATAAACGGCGCTCTTCGTTATCTTCTTTCAGTTTTTCTATTTTATTTATTTATTTATTTATTTATTTTTTCTTTCTTTTTTTTTTGTTAAATTTTGTTACCTTTTAAACATCGACATCTGTATCCCGTTTGAAATGGCAAAGGGAAAGGCAAAGGGAAAAGAGTCGAAAGGGATGGCATGCTGCGGGTGTGCACGCAGCAGGAACAGCGACATTATATGTAAATATGCAATTATCCTTGTCGTTATATTGCTCCATGCACCTCATTTCATGCACGTCATCATCTACGCACCTTATCATTATGCTTTTCGTAATTATTCACGATAAATTAATGCGTGCACGTTTCTTCGAAACGTCAAAGGCTACGTTACTTGTCGTTCGTTCATTCGACAATCGAAAAAAAGTATGTCTCACTCATTTATCTTTTTTCTTAATCAGTTATTTCACCTTTTTTGTAATAATACATATGTTTTTAACGTAAATATTCACACAAAATTGTTGTTAACCATATACTTTGAAATGATCGATTCGATAATTTTAAATATTCGCTTTTATGCTAATAAAAATTGCATTCAATAAATCCAACGACACAAATATCGTAATAATTGAATTCAAACGATGTTTTTTATCAGAAAATACATCGATGGCTGATGTATTTTTTTCAATGATTATCCAGACCAATTTATGTTCAATTGTTTAAGCAAACGTAACGAGAATTGAAAAACCGGTTTAAGTGGAATCGGCAGAATTATTGTTAATAATTGCTGTAAACAGCAACCTCATCGTGTAAATTAAATGTTAAATTACGAGGAATTAGTTAAATACGTATTTAAAATCATTTAATATCATTACATAACATTAATGGATAATAGAACCAACATGACTTTGTTTTAAAGGCTCATGCCCATTAATAAAAGTTAAATATTCATTCTGTACGTATATATAACGGAAGTATACCGTAACAATGGCGCGGACATGCATTCTGCATTGCAAATGTAAACGCTGGCGCAAGACAAGGACGTCAAGTTGTAGCGCCAATCTTACAGACACAAACAATTTGTTTTAAATTAAGCCATGACCACCTCATACTACGAATAGCGTTATAGTATCAAATAGTTGCCACTTTACGACATCGACCGAAAATCACTCGGCCATTTTACGATAGGGTGTGTCAGTTTAAATTGTCATTGATATCGATGACGATAGAAACGTATATAATAACGTATTTACATATATTTTTACTTGTATATATTTTTATCTTTACTATAAAATAGGATGAATAATTAGAAATTAGATTAGAAAAAGTTAGGATGATACCGTATGATAAAAGTACAAATTTACACTCCGACCGTTTCTACATTTTACGGGATATTTGATAGTTAATTAAATTAATGTAAATTTTAAATGGAACAATATCTTGTTAATTAATTAATTACATCGGGTATGAAAAATATTTATACGCATAAATATTAATTTATATGATAATTAAAAAAAACAATCTATGGTGTTGATAAGCTCTGTACTCCTGTACGGTTCGTACACCTATAGATACGACCTTGTTTACATGAATATCGTTTCTATACGTACATAAAAGTGAGTAGAACTTGTTAGACCTAATTAAGTTTATAGGAGGAAGAGGAGGAATATACAGTACGTTACGTGAATACGACATAATAATTATACAGACGGTTGCATCAATGACATAAGGAATAATGTGGGATAATGAGAAAGGAGATACTAATACGAAATTTATTCCCAGCCATGACTTTTAAATTTTCTTATAAGTCAATAATAAGTTTTCATGATATTATATTCATAGATTAAAGTATTATTACGTTAGAAATGATCGAACTATTAAGAGTCATAATCTATCTTAGATTATTATTATTAAAACTATTTTCATCCTATGACGCTTCAAGTCTTCCTTATTCAATGAGATTTGACACGATTATATAGCTGATCTTCTGAGAGACGATTAGAACACGAACTCTCCAGAAGATATAGGTCACCGTTTACGAGATTGGTTCTTTCGTAGAGATAGAAGCGTCTTAGAACGTCTAACAGAACTGTTTCAGTATTACGTGTCCTTGAACGATGATAAAATTAGCGTTTCTGTGTTACGGTTACGTTCATACCATAAAATTAAACATAACTGAATACGTGGAGTGACGAAAATTCAAATTTTCAGTTGGTTCCGTAATAATATATTTATCCGAAAACGTTTTCCAAAGAAAACTCGAACTATCATCTTTATACTCGTTAGATTAAACGAGAGAGAGAATAAAAAATAAATAAAAAAAGGTGGGAAAGAGAGAAAAAGGAAGATTATTTGACAGCAATCATCTCATATCTACCATCGACGGTTCAAGGTCTTATTCTCTCATACTCGAGTAACTCGACATAATATTGTTTGTCTTTATTTTTAGATATTACAACATCTTACATGCTTTAAACATATACAGCGGCGTGAAGAATAATTTGCTTTTATCTGCCGATAACATATTAGACGTGGGCGGTAAATTTGTGGGCTGTCCATCCATTGGATAATTGTGGCCTATATTCTTGAAATGTCTGATAATTCGCAATCGTAAATGCGGCAAGATTTCAGTCTCCATTGTCAGTGTGAAAAATGAGAGTTACAGAGTAATACAGACTTCTGCATTTTATTTTTTGATTTCGGAGATAGATATTACACGACAAATTAAGGAAGTATGACGTACTTTATTGTTTCGTATCTTAAACGGCAGAGATTTAATCTGTGTGTAAATGTATACCAACGATTGAGCAGTTCTTTATGAGAGTAATCACGAACGGTGATGATGATAACAAATAAATAGAATAAAATGAAGAAGAAGAATAAGAAGGAGAAGAAGAAGAAGAAGAAGAAAAAGAAGACAAAAGATAAACCATAGTGTTGTTTTCTTCTTAAAAAAAAAACAAAATAATATGGTCGATGAAAAAACGATTATTTGAAAAATCTTTCTAACGCCGCTATATATTTATATATACCTTTTCCGATTTTGCTTGTTATTTCGCTTATTCCTAATAATTTCATTGGCAATGATATTATTTATTTCCGTTGCAAAGGCATCAAAACCAATGTCCATACATTTAATAATATTAGTGCATACGATTTAATTGTGACACATAGTATTATTTTTCATATACGGTACTATAATCTACCACTTTGTATTCATATTAACTCACGAAGAACTTATTAACGAGTATACCGTGAACCGTAATAAAGATCTCATTGTTCATTTATGCAGGTGAAGATCCGATGCTCAGCGACCAACATCAATACCGTTACATGACTGTTGATGATATGAAATCTATGGGAGACGACTCCATGCGCGTTAATGTTACTGATGACGAAAGAGATAATCGACATGCTGGAGGTATGTTAGAAAAATTAGTTTCTTTTTATCTTTGTTTCTTTTTTTTCTAGTCAGTCGTTTAATTAACAACGGAAAACATCGTGTGATTTTTCGTTATCGTATAAAGAACGTTTTTTTTTATTTTCTTTGATTTACAATTTTCTAGCTCCCACGATAACAGAAATGATCACCAAGGAAAACTATCAACGTTCTAATGCCGCAATTCTAAAGCCGGACAATATAGATATCAATAGGCATCCGGTTCACGTTGGGTATGTATCGATTGTATTCAGATTTTTTTTTTTATTACATACAGACATTTTAATGAAAATTAGTTAATATCGAATTAACACGACAGAGTTCGATAAGCTGTATTATTATTATTATTATTATTATTATTATTATTATTATTATTATTATTATTATTATTAACGATTACGTACTGAGTGTCTCAATGTTTTTTTCTCTTCAAAATTTTATTACCATATTTTATAAAGAAAAATAAGAAAACAACGTTACGTTAAATGCTTCATTAAAAAGTTATAACAAAAATATAAAACAATAACGAACTACTTTTTAATTGCATACTACATAGGAATAGAATGTTCGTTCAAATTATAATTTCATTTTAATATGTTATTCGTCATTATGAATGTTAGAAATTGCATCTACGGAGAATAGAATTTATCCTATGACTAATCTATATATTTCTGTTTTATTTTCCTTAATTGTTTCAAATGCGTCACGAATTCTTTGCATTCATTTTTAATGTGCATTAATTTCTGTTTGATCAATTTCTTTTTCACTATTTCTCACAAGTAAAAATTTATTAATAATATCTTTGAAGTCCAAGAAATTGGTTTTCCTCGACTTATCTATTGTTGGGGATAATTGTCATTCAATAAATAATAAAAATATATTTTCTATTAATTCTGACTGCAATTCATTTAATAGGAAATCTAAAACAGATTGCGTGGTTAATTTTTCAAATAAAAATATTGAGTCTGCGTTAATGCAGACGTAATCTTGAGTTAACGTTGCATATTCAAATAGAAACACCGGTCCGTTATCGTTTCGTATTTTTATTTATAGCTTTTTAATTATATATTTAAAAGCTTATTTTTTTACTTATCGAATATCCCAGTAAAATATGGTGGGAAATATTGAGACACTCTGAATATTCGAAGGTTGGTTGAAAAGTTTTGAGTCTCAACAGAAATATTTCTATTTAAAACAAATAAAAATGAATTGTTTCTATTTAATGGTCAACATTTTTTAAAAACACCCGCTAACATATCATTCGATATAATACGTTGAATTTGGGAATATCGATGATACGAATAAATTTCATAATTGTACGGCTTATCTTAAACAAATACATGATCATGAAATTGTATAGGTAGAAAAATAAAGTTTTAAGGAGCGCGTGTGTATTTAAGAAAATTTGTTTACGCACGACGATTAAGTAAGATTAATAAAATTCTTGGACAACATAAAGATATAAATATTTAGTGTCGATACCAGAAATGTGTACACTGCATAAGATATTGCATTTCTTATACTAGCGTATTTACTACTCTCGTGCCTTAAACGGTAATAGTGTTGATTATGAAAAAGCAATAATGTTGTGTATTATAGTGTGATACGGTGTGTGTTGATGAAAGTATCCTGCTGTAACTAATCCTTCAAATTATTGGTTGCTATGTAATTTATCTTCTAGTTTACTTCTAATTTATCTCTCAAGCCTATAATTTGCTAAATTATCGATGTTTGATAGATCTTTATTAAACGGGCTAAAGGTTCGTTATGCAAAGCTCGAACTAATCCAATTGAAGTAAAGAAATTATCTTTGGTTATCATTATATCAATAATTATTTAAAAATTTTGATAAATAAACGAAAAAAAGGAAAACAAGAAAAACGCATAGAACATAACACGTTAAAACGAAAAATAATCATTGCGTTCTTTAACATTTATCATCTCACTTTCTCTGTACAAAACATCGCGCGATCTCATCGATACTTTAATACAATTCGTTAATTAGTTAAAAATAAAGACAATTGTTCTTCAGTTACACCTTTGCATTCATACGTGTTTTCATTTAGCCGCTTGTCTTGCTCGTAGCATTGTTTTAAACGATGTAGCAATTTAGCATGAAATGTTTAAATATATATATATATTCAAAGATGAACGATTCTTTTTGGATATAACACGTTTTAAATAATTTCGTTAACCATTAGTATCTTAAATATTTTATTTTTTTTTATTTTTTTTCAACTAACACGCATCTATTAAATTTCTCTCGTATGTAGGTTTAAAGTCTGAGGATAAAATACTTGCGTCATATTGTTCTATTTTCGAAATGTTGAGTGTGATTGTTTCGAGTATATTATGGAGCACAGTTTTATGAGTTTCAAGAAATACGTTTGGCAGTGTTGCGTCAATCGCTAAAGTTTCTAAGAACGAAACGTCAACTGCACGATTTAATAAAAGAACATTAAGCATGTGCATGAAATAAAACAAGTGTCGATAATCATACACGGTTTTGTTCCGAGATTAGTGCCTCTATAGAGTTCCTAATTACATCGCTGGCTACTATTGGCACCATGTCAAAAGGACAAGGAATGGAGAGGGACAGGTATACCATTCCGTTTTTATTATATTAGACTCACGTGCTTGATATGTAGTCCACGATCCTTTCCTAATTTTTATCATCAAATTATACGTATAAATATCGTTGATAATTAATTCATTATCAAATGATTTATACTCGATATTAAATCAAGCACAATAATATTGATCGACGTCATTAATGAAAATAGTAAAGTACATGTTTTAAATTGAATTAGAATCGTAAGGAAGGATTCAATTTTTTTTACAACAGAAATGATATACGAACAAAAATAAACGTATATTCACACATTGGCACATGACAAATCTATTTTACCAAAAGACAATTACGCCAACGATCGTGGAAAGTATTTACAAAAGTTATTACAAAAAAGAAGAATCGTTCATCCGTCGTTAATTCTAACAAAAAGAGAAATTAAGGAAAATTAGTCCTTTACAACGGCTGTTGTTGCTCGTTGCGGATTTATCTTACAAAAATATTTCCATTATATTTTTTTATTCAGCTACGTTATGTGCATAAAACGAGATCTGTCGTCTTTTATGCTGCTGTTGATAATAATAATAATAATAGTAATGAAAAACATTATATATAAATTATTTAAGAATTAATAGAATCTCGTACACGATATTAAATATTTATTTATTCTTATTCTTATAAATTAAAATATACTAATCGCATAAAAATCCAATTTCTAGAATGATTTCAATCGACAGCATATCATCAGGCAGATTTCGAAATCTTTCCTCTTATGTTGCAGTCCCAATGTATGTCTATTTTTCGCATAGTGTGAGTGATGTGTTGTCTATCGCGCGTCTCTATACTATAATACATAATTATTATTGTTATTTCCTTTCCGCAATATGTACTTAATAAAAAAGTGGTTTGTGTGTGATCATTGCGGGTTTTCGAAGCTATCAGCGATTATCAATTGGCAATACTTTAAGGAATCATTAAATGATTCAACTAACCGTCCGCTGATTTATTAATACTTTCGAAAATCTGTAAAGTTGTGGCAGAATATAATAATTCATGATCTCATCTTTCTCTTTCTCTCTCATTCTCTATTTCTATTTCTTTTTCTATCTCTTTCTCTTTATTTTTATGGCATCATTCATCGTCATATTTATGGGAACGAATGAATACTAACGCGTTTTTTATTTTGTTTCCGATCCTCTGTTATTTAATTTGCGCTACTCGCAGAATCCCACAATGGAGAAAGTAAGTGGATCTTCTCTTGAATCTTTTAGCTTTTGCTATTAGACGTTATGCTCCTGAATTGTATAGTTTCATGCGTTCGACACTTTTTTCATTCCTTGTTGCACATGACCCCCTTCTTCCCTAGTAGTCGATGACTTTTAGTCATTTTTTTTTTTTTTAAATCGATAGAGTTCGTCTAACAGCGAACACATACCGAGTAACGAACTACGATCGTATCAATCGTTTGTTGAAATAGAATTTTATTAGAATTATCTTTCGTAGATTTATGTATTCGCTGTAAAAACGTTGCCTACAGCTATCATATACCACATAAGTTTTATTCAAATACAATCTTCTTTAGAATTTTATTAGTCATTCGCACACGAAAATTGTTGGAATGTATTATATTATATTATATTATCTATATATACTTTTTAAATGGATTTTTTTTTCGTTGGTTTTTTTAACAATTGACCTTTTCGATGTTTTCACATAGTTCTTTGATGTGATCATACAGCTCAGCTTGCAGCTTCGTTTACTAAAAACAAAAAAAAAAAAAAAACAAGCAAACAAAAAAAAAATATATAAAAATAAATCAAAAATTGCAATAGAGTGCTTAGCTTCTCGTCTAGCTTATCCTTGTCGTTATGATTACATGTCATATTTATTATTTACTTTTATCGATTACAATCAAATTCTTTCAAAAAATAAATCATTCCATAAAAAGATCAATACATATGATAGACACGAACAGAGATCATTTTAAATATTGTTTAATTTATTATATTAAATTTTGATAATATTAAATATATTAAATGTCTAATCTTTACTATTGAAAATGACTCATTTTTGCTTTGCGTTTCATAGTATCATTCTGGTGATGCATAATTAAATCTTTCACATTACCGCACGCTTGGCGTACGATGCGACTTGGCTATGAAAAATAATTATTATAATTATAAGTCAACAGATATCGAATGCAAAAAGAAATTAACCTATATTCAATTTAAATAAATATTTATTATTATTAATTAAGATATTTCCATACTAAACAGAATATAACTTGAAAAATGATTAAAAAGGTTTCTTCAAGATGAAAAGGAACGAACGAAACATCGATTGCGGTTTCACACGTTTATATATATATAAAATATGTTTTATTTATTATCTTCTTTTTTACAAATCTATATATCGTATCAATGTATAATAGTATTCAACGGCAAAACAATTGTTTGCAGTTAATTATCATTATGAGTTTTTCTAAAATCAATCTACTACGATAGCTTCCTGGTTTCTTTCCTGGTCGACGCGAGAGGTGGTGCAATGAGAGGATGTAGACACAGCGGAGTTCGCGTTATCGTGCCCCCACGTAAAGCGGCAATGCCGATGAGAGTAACCTGTAGATACCTAAGAAGAGATAAATTGACCAATCCGCCTCCTTTAATGGAAGGTGAGGCTTTGGCCAGTCGTATTTTGGAACTTGGGCCAGTCGGTGCGAAATTTTTAGGGTAAGTTTAAATTTAGATAATCAAATTAACATTATAATATATATTATAATGTTAATATATAATATATATA